GCGAATGAGATGTGGCCCAGCTGGGTCTGTGTAATCCCTGGCTTGCTTGGGCGCCTGTCCAGGTCTCCCTAGCTCAGTGCCTTGTCCTTGCCCTGCCTTCCCCTCCTGGAAGGAAGCAGCATGCACTCCCTCCCAGCCATGTGTATTTCTCCTGGGGTCCTCCTCCGGTCCTCAGCCATGGCTGGGCTGGAGATGCTGTGTTCATATTCATTCTGTGGTGGCTGCAGGGACAACACGATTTCTTCTGGCTGTCCCTGTCTGGGACACCTGACCTGCTGTGCAGCCAGTCTTCTCACAGGGTGCCTGCCAGTCCTGTCTCCCCAGGAATGGTTCTTACAGTGGGTTAGTTTCTTAGTATTTTCTGTGTTCGTTCGTTTTAAGGTTTTTGCCATGAAGCATATGTTTTCACTGGAGAGAGAGAGAAACAGAAAAGTAAGAAATAACCCTCCAGGGGAAATGGCCATACTGCAATCCTTTCTTGATTTTCCTCTTGGGATTTTGGGTGCATGTGTGCACCCACACATACACACACACACAGTGTGTGTGTTTTTCAAGCTGCCGGATCTGGGACTTGAACCATGGTCAGCCATGTGGAAGTCCAGCACCTTACGCACCCTGTCACCTGCTGCCCTGGTTTTTGTTTTTAAACTGGACTCCGGTATTGCACTCTGCCCTTCTGAGTCTGGCAGCTCTTCAGTTGGGGCTAGGGAGGCAAGTGCACTGGACTACACTTATTGATGGAGTAGTCTTTTTTCTGCTGATAATTTAGGTTCTGTACAGTGGAACACTTAATCCACCCTGGTCCGCCTTAGACAGACAGAAAACCTGCCCGCCCTCACTGGGGACGCAGAAACACCGAGCAGTACGTCCAATCTGTGCCGTTTAAATGGCTTATGTTAAGGCTAGTGTAGTTAGAATTGGCATTAGAAAAGGAAGCAGCAGAGAGTAGAATGAGCATGTTGTCACAGTCAGCTATCTGGGCAGGTTGGTCACTGGGCGCAGGGCTCTGTGCATATGGATTGCATCTATCTACCTAGTATGTGGAAGGCCCTGGGCACTTTAAAGAGTACGTCACAGTCTCTCCCTGATTCTTGGATTAGGGTTAGGAAATATCACTACAGACTAAGTTTCCTCCCTAAAATACAGTGAAACTGAGAACTTTGCAGAACTTGGGAAGACAGACCTGCACAGCAAAGCTGGTGGCACTGGAAAACCATCTTGCGGTATACATGTGGTTCCCAAGTTGCCCCTGGGTTCAGGCCACGTATGTTGGGTTGTTAGAAAAGTCATGCTGCATTTTCCATGTTTTTCTATGTAGAAATGCGTCATGACTTTACCGAGGACCCAAGAGGTGTGACTCAGGTTTAGCAGAATTAGACACCCCTGTTTTAAAAGTCCTTTGGAGATACACATAAATGATGAATCTCTTGGCCAGGAAAGAAAAGTTATTTTAAAAAACCTTACAGGGGGACCAGTAGTTAGCGTAATAGCTATGTCGCTGGACTCCCAGGTAGTCGACCGCGGTTCAAGTCCTAGACCCGGTGGCTTAAACTCATGCCGGGGTGTGTGCATGCGCGCCCAAGATCCTGAGAGGAGAATGGAGGAGAAGGGATTGTGGCATGGCCATCCCCCTGGAGAGTGATTTCTCACTTTCTGTCTCTCTGTCTCTCTTTCTCTTTCTGGCGAGCGCACGCGCCCTATAGCAAAAAAAAAAAAAGAAAAAACCTTTCAGGTAAGGCTTGCCTGTGTCTTGGTAGTTAAAGATCTGGATCCCACATGGCTGACCACATGCTCAAGTCCTGGACCCAGCAGCCTGACAAACACTCTGGATGCCTGTGGTTGTAAAATCCCCAAAAGGAGGGAGAAATGGATGAGAAGGGATTGTGGTGGCCGTTCCTGTGGGGTCTCTGGCTCGCTCTCAGGCAAGCGCACACCCTTCCTGCCTTCCATGAGCTGGCGCTCCTCGTAGTCGGTACTCTCGTGTTTCCTCTGGGCCCTCCTCCCCTCTAAGAACTGTGCTCCCATCTGACTGGTTTGGGTTCTGTGTACCGACCTTCCTGTTCAGTTTTCCACTGCTTGTGTGCCTTTTGTTTCCTCAAACTCAGTAGATCGAAGCTCGAGGTGTTCCACTGAGCTGCCCGTCTCACTCGGGGGCCGCAGCTCAGTAACAGACCTCTGGCGTCATCTGCGTTCTTCTGAATGGTCCCCAGTAGCCAGAGGGGCCCCCTGTTTGTAGTGTCCATGGAGCCTTCGCCTGTTCTCTGATGCGGTATTGCAGGTTGTGCTGTGTCTTAGCAGTGGTTGAATAGCCTTTATCTCGCTCTCTCTCTCGCTAAGAGATTTTTGCTATAGGGTGCTTGTGCTAGCTGGAGAGACAGACATAGAGACAGAACCGGAAAGTGAGAAATCATGCCCTGGGGGGGGACCACGCCTCAGTTTCTTCTCCTCTACCCTTTTCTTGGGATTTTGGGCATGCACGCACACATGCCTGGCATGACTTTCAAGCTGCCAGGTATGGGACTCAAACTGTGGTCAGCCGTGTGGGAACCCAGCGCCTTAACCACTATGCCACCTGCTCACCGCAAACTTTTATCTGAAAACAGAGAGGTGAGTTTTACACTCCGGACTCGCTTGTGCAGCGCAAGAGAAAATGAGAAGCTCGTGTACGAGTCTGGTCTCCCTTGCTCCTTATTTCTAGCACAGTGCACAGCACGCAGTGTTTAAGAAATGCTTTTTGGGGGCCAGCAGGTAGCGTGGTGATTAAGGGCACTGGACTCCCACATGGCTGATTGTGGTTCTAGTACCAAACTTGGTGGCCTGTTTTCTCACTTTCCCTCTCTCTCTCTAGCCCTGTCCCTTCCAAATCTTAAAAAAAAAAAAAAGTTTCAGTTTTAAAAAAAAGTAAAAGAGCAATGATTTTTGGAGGTATGGCCCAGAGACTCAGGGAAAGTTCCGACTGGGGCTCTGCCGAGTGAGAGTGGTTCGGCAGAGCTGTTCTGTACGTGCGTGAGGGTTTGTAGCCCTCCCTCTCCCTGCTGGGGTCATCCCTCACGTTTACTGTCCCAGGTGCCTCGGGCTCCCTTTCACGTAGCCAACACGACCCTGAGGCACCTCCGTTCCTCGTTCCTCGCAGGCTTTGGAAGGAAGGACGTGGTGGAGCACTTGCTGCAGATGGGAGCCAGCGTGCACGCACGGGACGATGGAGGGCTCATCCCGCTCCACAACGCCTGCTCTTTCGGCCACGCTGAGGTCGTGAGCCTGCTGCTGTGCCAAGGGGCTGACCCCAACGCCAGGGACAACTGGAACTACACACCCCTGCACGAGGCTGCCATCAAGGGGAAGATCGATGTGTGCATCGGTGAGTGCTCTGACGGGGCCCAGGTCGCTCAGGGTGGGCTCACTCCCGTCTTCTGTCATGGCATACGTAGTGCCCTTCAGACCAGCTCTGGGCTGATGGCTTCTTCCAGGAACAGTCCTACTCCCCCCGAGGAAGTGGAGAGATGTGACTTACAGCTGGTCCAGAGCAGGGCTCCAGCATAGCAAAAAAAAAAAAAGAAAAAACCTTTCAGGTAAGGCTTGCCTGTGTCTTGGTAGTTAAAGATCTGGATCCCACATGGCTGACCACATGCTCAAGTCCTGGACCCAGCAGCCTGACAAACACTCTGGATGCCTGTGGTTGTAAAATCCCCAAAAGGAGGGAGAAATGGATGAGAAGGGATTGTGGTGGCCGTTCCTGTGGGGTCTCTGGCTCGCTCTCAGGCAAGCGCACACCCTTCCTGCCTTCCATGAGCTGGCGCTCCTCGTAGTCGGTACTCTCGTGTTTCCTCTGGGCCCTCCTCCCCTCTAAGAACTGTGCTCCCATCTGACTGGTTTGGGTTCTGTGTACCGACCTTCCTGTTCAGTTTTCCACTGCTTGTGTGCCTTTTGTTTCCTCAAACTCAGTAGATCGAAGCTCGAGGTGTTCCACTGAGCTGCCCGTCTCACTCGGGGGCCGCAGCTCAGTAACAGACCTCTGGCGTCATCTGCGTTCTTCTGAATGGTCCCCAGTAGCCAGAGGGGCCCCCTGTTTGTAGTGTCCATGGAGCCTTCGCCTGTTCTCTGATGCGGTATTGCAGGTTGTGCTGTGTCTTAGCAGTGGTTGAATAGCCTTTATCTCGCTCTCTCTCTCGCTAAGAGATTTTTGCTATAGGGTGCTTGTGCTAGCTGGAGAGACAGACATAGAGACAGAACCGGAAAGTGAGAAATCATGCCCTGGGGGGGGACCACGCCTCAGTTTCTTCTCCTCTACCCTTTTCTTGGGATTTTGGGCATGCACGCACACATGCCTGGCATGACTTTCAAGCTGCCAGGTATGGGACTCAAACTGTGGTCAGCCGTGTGGGAACCCAGCGCCTTAACCACTATGCCACCTGCTCACCGCAAACTTTTATCTGAAAACAGAGAGGTGAGTTTTACACTCCGGACTCGCTTGTGCAGCGCAAGAGAAAATGAGAAGCTCGTGTACGAGTCTGGTCTCCCTTGCTCCTTATTTCTAGCACAGTGCACAGCACGCAGTGTTTAAGAAATGCTTTTTGGGGGCCAGCAGGTAGCGTGGTGATTAAGGGCACTGGACTCCCACATGGCTGATTGTGGTTCTAGTACCAAACTTGGTGGCCTGTTTTCTCACTTTCCCTCTCTCTCTCTAGCCCTGTCCCTTCCTGGTCAAATTATAAATAAATAAAGTTAGATAATTCTTAAAAAAAAAAAAAAGTTTCATTTTTAAAAAAAAGTAAAAGAGCAATGATTTTTGGAGGTATGGCCCAGAGACTCAGGGAAAGTTCCGACTGGGGCTCTGCCGAGTGAGAGTGGTTCGGCAGAGCTGTTCTGTACGTGCGTGAGGGTTTGTAGCCCTCCCTCTCCCTGCTGGGGTCATCCCTCACGTTTACTGTCCCAGGTGCCTCGGGCTCCCTTTCACGTAGCCAACACGACCCTGAGGCACCTCCGTTCCTCGTTCCTCGCAGGCTTTGGAAGGAAGGACGTGGTGGAGCACTTGCTGCAGATGGGAGCCAGCGTGCACGCACGGGACGATGGAGGGCTCATCCCGCTCCACAACGCCTGCTCTTTCGGCCACGCTGAGGTCGTGAGCCTGCTGCTGTGCCAAGGGGCTGACCCCAACGCCAGGGACAACTGGAACTACACACCCCTGCACGAGGCTGCCATCAAGGGGAAGATCGATGTGTGCATCGGTGAGTGCTCTGACGGGGCCCAGGTCGCTCAGGGTGGGCTCACTCCCGTCTTCTGTCATGGCATACGTAGTGCCCTTCAGACCAGCTCTGGGCTGATGGCTTCTTCCAGGAACAGTCCTACTCCCCCCGAGGAAGTGGAGAGATGTGACTTACAGCTGGTCCAGAGCAGGGCTCCAGCAGTTACTCCCCAAGTGCCGTCGAAGGCCCATGGTGCTGAGCGGGGTGTCCTGGGTGACCGCGGACCAACTGGCTGGCTCTGCCCTGTGAGAGCTGCGGTCTCTGTCACTGCCTCCATTGGGAGTGCTGTTGTGCTGCCCAGCTCACTCCCTCTCAGGCCAGCCACACCGGGGTCCTGGGCTAGCTCAGGGAAGCAGCCTGGTACCGAGGCAAAGGCCCACCCTGCGTGTTGCAGGGCGCCAGCCTGCTCACCAGCACTGGGAGGTTCCGAACAAGGAGCTTAGTGTTTTCGGCACGCACATTGTCTAGAGGAAAAGCAGTTCCCACCATGGTCAGATGTTTCAACTGCCCAGAGCGTATGGAGTTGTATTTAGTTAGCGGGCCCTGTACACTTTTACAGCTTGCTTTTCTGTGTAATTTTAGTTTGAAATCTGAAATAAGAAAGCCTCCAAAAGAGAGCTCTGAGCAGAGGCCCTCCAAGGCACAACACTTCCTCCGAGTGTTGCCGGGGCCCAGCCTCGGCGTGGGTGGGTTATCTCGACGAAGGCGGCGAAGGTGAGCAGAAGACAGAGGCCTCGATGCCTTTTCATGCACGTCTTATGCCGGACACCCCTCAGAGGGCGACCTCTGAGGGGTGACAACTGCTAGGAATTATCGTGCCTTTTTATTGAAAATGTGTTACATACAAGTAAATGGGAGAGGGGCTAGTGTTTCAATTAACAACTCAAAGTTTTTAACAATAAAGAACATAGATTCTATTCAGGGTTTGATTAAGGGTGGGTCTAGTGCAGTTCCTATTCAGGGGTGGATTAAAGGTGGGTCTAGTGCAGTTCCTCAATTGTAGGTGGGTCTCCATGGAATGCAGTTTCGGGAAAGCGGTTTTGGAAAGCAGAGATGATTATTAACTGATGTGGCGTAGCAGCCATCTTGTGATTACTGGGAATGGTGCTGAGAAAAGAAAATCTCAAGAATAGATATTAGTTTTTATGGATTTTAATAAAGAATGATACTTACAGTTTTGTAGGGATCTATAACCTAATTTAAGGAATCCTAATATATTTATCTATTTTACTTGGAGAGGGTGGAGGTGTCTTGGCCCAGTTTTGGCCTAATCCTATTTTAGGTAAAGAAAGGATGTATTTTAAAGGGCCTTCCAAAGGTCAAGATTACTTCTGCCTAGAAAGAACTTCAGCCCACCCTCTATTGTGACCATGGAGATAAAGCATTGTAATTAATAGTAAGTGATCAGAGCAAAGGGGAGTGGTCGGGGGGACTTCCTGGAAGATTTTATGGTATACTCAGGATGTATAAGAGAGCTATGTA